AGAGAAATCAAGTGGTATCGTGAGAATGCTTAGCCCGGAGATGCGTCTACAAATGCTGCTATACGTGACGTATATTTCTTTGAGCTGTGCGAACTGCTAAGGATTATTTCTCGTCACCTGAGAATAGATGCCACTGTTGGTGTAGAACCGTGTTATGAAAAACAAAAGTGAAATTTTGCAAAAAGAAATAAGCGCTGTACGACGTCGTAATAATGCCTCCTTCTATTCTAATGAAGCAGTCATACATTTTTATCGATGAATAAAAATATTACTGGTTGATAAATATAGTAGACGAAGAGAAAACAAATTACAATTATAGTTTATGATTAAGTCTTTGGTCAACCACGTGAGAGTAGGCATGCACTAATACTGATCATTATTGAAGATATTGTACACCTAATATATTGGATCTCGATATTATTAGATATCCAATCATATTGGGTTTCGCAATACACTGTCCACAGGGAAATTTTAGTAGATATCGCGGCGTTTATAACACCCATGAAGATCGTGAAACGGAATGTGAGCGCAGGTGAGCAGCGTATTCCCATGGTAACAGAACATATTCCCACAGAAGGGAAAGAAAAAAAACATAAAGACGTGTATAAGGCACAAAATAAAGAATATGTAGGATGATGGACTAGCCTCAACTTTATATAACGTTTAACTGTATTATGTACACGCAAGTGATATACGATAGCATTTATAATAAAGAGATGGTATGATTATGAACTGGAATCTGAAAAGTATCCGTTACTATTACCATTACCATTACCTTGAATATAGGTTTTTGTTACTATTTACCATCTATCAGGGGTATGACAGTTCCATATCAACTCCTATCATAGGAACTGTTGAAAAGTTCTTTCGAACGGAGCTGATATGTTCGAGCAGCTCACCAGTCGTCTAGACAAAGTTTAAACGTCCCGAATGTTCATTAGACGTTCATATCAGCGAAGTTCTGCAATCATAAATAGAAGCATGTAAAATGGTCAATTTTTTATTCCTCAGATAAGTATGGTTAAAAAGTAAAATAAAAGAAGTACGATCTTTGTAAGAAAAGCAGACCAAAGAAAAGATTAAAGTTTATCTTTTAGGACCATTGAATAATTCAAGATTTTAGCTGAGAGAGAAGACCGTGTTTTTCGAGCAATATAGCCTGGATTGAGAATGCGCTCTCACTGGGGACTGAGATCGCGGGTATAGGACCGAATCGACGTGCGATCTGATTCAATATTGGAAGTAGAGTTGAATGTACTCTAGAATGACGCAAATGTATGACCGTTCTTCTCCAGTGCTTCGAGTTGAGCAAGCTCTTGCTTCAGCGTGAAAGCTTTAACAGTAGTCGTTGAAAAAATTTCAAAAAATTTCAATTTTTAAAAAATTCAAAAGAGCTGTTCAAACATATCAGCTCCTTTCAAAAGATCTGTTCAACAGTTCTTTCGCTCAAATGAGCTGAACTTATGAGCTGGAACTGTTACAGGTCTACCATCTATTACCAGGAATTTAAAAAACTTTTTTTTACCATTACCATGGCAATGGTAAGATAACTGAATTTTTTTGTTACCGCAGGACTCTAGTGAAAACCCAATATATTCGGCGACTAATAATATTGGGACTCAATATATTATATTGGTGCATGCTTACATGAGAGAGAAAAAAACGATTTTTCAGAAAAGTCATTATAACTATTTATGCAAAAAAGGTTGAGAAAAAAGACTTTACCTGTAAAATCGAGCTCAATCATGTCGTTGCCCAAAGTCTTAGGTTATGTTGGTGTTTATCTAACTCGAAAGTAGAAAGTGTTAATAAAAAAGAGGTCGAGAAGTACTCTTTTCGAAAAAATCTCAATTTTGATCCAGGTTAAAGGGTGATAGTAACTTAATGCCGTTTTTTAATAAGGCAAAAATATAACACTTTAAGACCAGAAAAAAGAAAGACTTTTGCAGTAACTAAACAGTACATTTGTATTGGTGCGTTTTATATGTAGCAATGTTTAAAAAGATCTGCTCTTTTGAATATTGCTCTTTTCATGTCGAAACTCTTTTTCTGTTCTCTCATAATGATACATCGGATTTTTAACTCGTACGGATGTTATTCATTTAAAAGTAAAAAGAAAAAAAATTGAAAAAAAAAGAAATTGAAAAAAAGGGAAAAAAAATTGAAGAAATACGTGAAGCCCCCAACGTCATCAACTTTCAAGCACTCAGCATTTAGTTTTTTTGTATTTATGTTTTCTCATGTTGAGATATACAAAATTTAAACTAGCCAATCATTTGTAGATCTTGAAAAAACGGCCGTTTGCAAAAATTTTCGTAACTAAACTGTACCACACAGAATAAACTTTATTTTGCTCAGACTTTCCGAACAAATACGCTTTTTCGTTCTGTAGTTTTTCCTGTCTTGAAAAATTTATGCTGCTCAGTGAATTTATTTTATTTGAAAGCTACTGAATCATACTTTAGAAGTCGACCTCAGATCTCAGTAAAAGTACCTTCGTCTGAACGATGTGAAGGTAGAAATACCAAAAACGGTAGATTTCTACTGATTGTTCAAAAACTGCATTCTTTATCAGTCTTTTTGGTCTTAATATTCTCTTTTAGGTCCCACGAGATGGAGCGCACATGAATGCACCAGAATTCATGCCTGGAAGCTTTTAGTCAGTTGTTTTTACTATTAGGAAAAAATTTATTGGCTTATTTGTGCTTGAAAGTTATTGACGTTAGGGTTCTCTGTATTTCTTTAATTTTTTTACTTTTATATGAATAACACTCATTCGCCCGCTGTTTTGTAGAATTAAAAGCTGAATCTTTTTAAAAAGAAATTAGTCCTGACATATGAAGACTAAGAGGGATATTGAGAAAATACTGAATGAGATATTTGTATCGATACTTCCTGTGTATTCTTATTATAAGAGGATTTATTTAAGACAAGACTCAAGCAAAATAAATTCAATTCTAGATTCGTTTCCTAAAGAAGATCAACGAGTTCTGTTGTTAAATGATTTCGTTGCGTTACTGGAAATTACAAAGTGTTATTTGTAAGGTACAAGAGACGAAAGTTGAAGTCTTGACACACGAGACTCTAGAACCTTCAAACCCAGGAACACTAACTATATAAGTAAGTGCTTGTGGTAAATTTAATACCGTTTCAGAGAAGTTGATGACCTCAAGTCTTTCTCCCTCTAAACTTAATGAAACTCTTTCAAATTTTATATACATATTCTACATCATCACGCCTATATCCACCGCTAATATTTCTTTCATATTCATAACCGTTGACGTACAGTAAACACAATCATACGTTTTTTATCGTTATTTTCACGGTGGCTCTCACGCATTCTCTTTTGTAAAATTATTGTTTCTTCAGTCTTTTGCTATAGAATTACATAGCTACTTTTGTTTCTTATGACATTTTTTTGGCTGTCTTTATTTATACTATGATCTTACTGTCTTTTCATTTGCTTCGTTTTTGTAGATGTTAATTTCAAATACGTGCGTGGTTCAGAAAAGTTCATAAATTGTCCCGTCATTACCTAGGCACTCTAGAGACCTTGTAAGCAAGCGCTTTGATTTCCATTTTGTTGATGGTAATAGATAAGCACAGGTATACGATAGACTATCAGTGGAAACCTGATGATTCAATTCCTCTTTGTGCGGAAATAATAGACAAATTACTATCTGAGACTGATGTTTGACCGAAGAGTATCCCGTGTCCATCTATCCTATGTTCTGCCTCTACTAATGATGAGAAAGTCGTTCTTTTTTTACCATAAGTGTGATTTGAGGTGTAGATAATTGAATTAAAATAGGAACGATTAGATTTACTTCATAACAGAGAAATTTAATTTAAGTTAAATGTCCCATCACTTTCGTTTTCTTGTACTTTCATAACAATTTGCTTAAATGAATCTAAATTTTTAATAACAAGATTTTAAAATATGGAAAATCTAATGGTTAAGTATAAATCTAGCTTCTCTTAAGAAACTCAACGTAGTTTCATAGATAGTAAGATTTTTCTATTTATTTAGATTAGACTATTTGATTAATATTAATATATAATAGTGTAGTGTGAAAAAGCTATGGACATGAGGTTTTGCATGACGCTGGATCGAGTATTCTTTAAAATCATAGAAACAAAGAAAAGGTTGTTTGCAGACCGATTTGTTCTGCGACTAGTAAGTACCTACTATCAATTTATGGTAACGAAATCTTCGAGCGTTTGCTTTTTTTGGGGGTCAAGTTTTAAAAAATAACGGTGCCAATTAACTAAAATCACTCAAGTATATTTTATCTATTTATATCATAAAATGTATTTGATGGAGACAACTACTTGCTCTAAATTTTTATCAAAAACAGTATGAATAAATTTCCAACATCTAGAACAGTATTCGCTTGAATTATTATATTTGCAAGACAAGAAGAAGGAACAGGTAAAAAATAATTTTTCAAAATAAAAAACACAACTGAAAAGTTAAAAATATTTCTCGAAAGTTGAAAAAATTCTCTTGAATGTACTTTAACTGTCTTTAAAAGGCCGAAAAAAATTAAGTTGTTCTGAAAGAGCTCGTTAAACTCCATCAATGTGTATTTGATTAAAAGTCTCCCGTTTTGTCAGCATCAATTTTTGCACACAATGTAATCAGATTTTTCCTCCTACACCTCATTTACGATAAGAAGCAGTACAGGCAAGATTTTAGAAAACCTTTTCTTTGGATATTATTAACTTAAATTTCTTCACGATAATAAAGTATACCCAATTTTTCTAATAATAGTAAAATTTTAAAAGTTCTTCTCAATTTTAGATAATAACAGTGTTAAAACTAGGTAACAAATTGGTAAACAACAACAATTAAAATATTCAATTATTTTTCACCAATCTGGATCAATAAATATCAAACAATTACACGAATGAGATAAAAATTAAGCAAAAATAACATCACTGTCATGCCACCATCATAAATACCTGTTGACTTCAATTAAAAATTACGGTCATCCGAAATGTCTGAGCTAGAATCAACGAAGAGAGTCCAAAAACAAACAGATAAACAACAATGCGACGAATCACTACAACAAAAACAACAAGCAAATGAACAGAAAGCTATTTCTTCGAAAAAACTATCGCGTTATTACATGTATTTACTTCAATTAACTTTAATAAAGTTTATCAATAAACAACATCCACATTTAGGAAAACTATGTCTATCAACGACAATTTTAAAATTATTAATTGAATTTCAATCGATATTACAAAATATTTGGACAAATAGTTGTCCAGATAAATTATCAAAGGGTATACTTTCAACTGCCGTCTTTAAATGGTTATGTGAAAAAAGTAAAAATAATGATGTTTTATATTCGGATTGGTGCCTATTATTAATATTATTTATGGGAAGAAATTGTTTTTATAAAGAGGATGAATTTGAATATTATTCAGATGAAATTGTTATTTCATTGTTTGAGCATCGACATAATTTAAACCATGAACATTTTATGAAAATACAAAATACAATTTGCAATTCTGTTGATTCAATTGAAGATTTCATGATACATAAAAAACTAGAGGTCCGCTACTGTGAGCTTTTTTTTTCATTTATCTCTAATGCAGTAAAGATTTTAATAAAAATGCAATATGCACCGAAACAACTAATTTCATCAATTCAAGAAACAACATCTGTTGATCGAAAAACATATAAGTATCAATATTTATTCAAAAATTATCAAATACAAGCATTAGAGAAAATAGTTGAAGAGGAAGAAAAAAATGATCATGATAACATTAACAATAAATATTGGTACAAGTATTTCGTTTTAGTGTTTTACAATCAAATCGTTCAATGGATAAACGATCACGATAGCAGTGATATAGAACACTTAAAAAATATTCTTGGCAAACCATCAATAGTATCATATTTAAATGAAAATTCTTCGCATGTCACAAATGAAAATCAAGTTAATGATGAAAATTGTCTTTCTCGTCCAACTTTCGATAATCTAAAAGGTGTACAGAAGCCACAAGAAGTTTTGAAAATAGTGAAAGGTGCGTATCAGAACTGGGCAAGTGTAGTCAAACATGCCTCAAGTCCAAGTTACGCCCCATTACCCACCACCTCCCGTCAGAAATTTATCTCTGAAACTATAAGTCCGATCTTGGCCAAAATTTAGGAGATGCTGATCTTGTGAAAGTATAGTAACGAAATTTTTTGTTTGACTTCATCGTGCATGGTTTGATAGATGTCGCCACAACAGTGACAAAAATGTTCGTAGCTCCAAGATTTCTCAGTAATAAAACGCCTCTAGCCACATGTGTCAGCTTGAATTTAAGATCTTCTCGAGTTCTCAGCGATGTTTCGTTACCGAGAAATCTGGAAGCTACAAAATGGTGTTAAGGTGAAAGTCGCTTGCGAGATATGGTGGCGCCAGTATTCCTTAAGTCCTTAAGTCCAACTCGATTTGAGAGATTTTTTTCTTGACTATGACTAGCCTTGAAAAATTTTTTAAGTCAAGTCACTTCTGGTAAGGGGTTTTCGTTTAAAGTAGGTATTTTTTACTGTGAAATAGAGTTTCTGCGAGTATACCCAGAAAGTGACTAAATTTTATATTCTGCCTAATTTTTACACAGACTTGACTTAATGAATATTTACCATAAAAGTTCAATTGTCGTATTAAAAAAGCAACTTTAATTAAAAATGTAAATTTTGCATTCCAATAGCCGTCTTACATGAAATATGTCACCCTTAAACTTCTGATCGAGTTACGTTATCTTTTCGTTTACCAGGGGTTTTCGCTGTGCTCTTCTTTTGTCAAGTGGAAAGTTTTCTCCAGAATATCCGGAAGTAAGGTTTCCAGAAAACCCTGATTTTTGGCCTATATGTAGTGAATAAAATGAGTTTTAAAAAAACCTGCCGAACGATGGAACATTTCCAACAACATATTCGGATTCAGCGTCGAACGACAAATATTTTGACAAAAAAAAATTAGTCTCCAGCACAAAATTTCAATTTTTCAATTTGATTTGAAATAATTTGAAAAAATTTAACTTTATTAAAAATTGAAAGGTAAGTGATACAAACTTCGTACAAATGCCATTCGATAGACAAATAAAAACTGAACGAGACGTAGGGTTTAATCAGATTTGCTTATCTCACGATCATGATTTCCTAGGGGATCTCTAGAAACCCACTTTTGAATTTCGTTTTAATTTCCTTATTTTTCAAATGTTAATTTTATTATTAAACTTTTTAGGACTGATATCATTTATGATCAATCGAAATAAAGCATTTTAACACTAGAGATGCTTCTTGTCACTATACAAACGATTTGCACTTTCATGTGCTCGTCTGCTATACGGTCAAGATGATCCACATACCTAATTTTCCCTAATGTAGAGGAAGAGCACCTCTAACTAACAATGATTTACCGTCTAGATCACCTCACGAAAACTGCTCGCTACATACAGGTTCATACTTAGCGAATCTCATCAAGTCTCTTCGTCTGTTCGGCTTTTATTTGTCTATCGAATGGCGTTCGTACGACGTTTGTATCACTTACCTTTCAATTTTTAATAAAGTTAAATTTTTCAAATTTCAAATCAAATTGAAACTGAAATTTTGTGCTGGAGACTAATTTTTTTTTTGTCAGAATATTTGTCATTTGACGCTGAATCCGAATGTTTTATTAAAATATTCCATCGTAGGTCCGGCTTTTTAAAACTCATTTTATTCACTACATATAGGCCAAAAACCAGGGTTTTCTGGAAACCCTACTTGCGTACATTTTGGAGAAAACGTTTCACTTGACTTGAGAAAGAGCACAGCAAAAGATTCTTATAATCAAAAGCACAGCTCGATTGAGTTTTTTGTTGCTGAGGTAGCCTAGACCGACTTGTTGATCCAACAGGCCTATTCAAGTAGTTGTTCGAAGGTACAAACAAGTATGGTTATGACGCCATTCTTGTTTATACGATCGAGCAGACGATTTGCTGTAAGATAGACTAGAAAATTTAGACGTAGTGCAAGGAGTTTTCTGGAAAATGTATTTTTTGGACAAGAAATCCTTGAAAATAAACCATCATTTGGCTCAGTTTTTGGCTCTGATTGCTAGTATAACTCTCTGTCGGCTACTAATCTTAATAATGTTCTGAATATAGATAATAATGATGAGATATTAAATACAAATGTTAAATCGGATGACAACCAGTTACCTCCACGTCTTGGTGATCGTAAATCAGAACTGAATTTTAAAGATACTAATATAAAGGATGATATTCACCCCTCTCTTCAACCAGTTGTAATCAAAGCAGCTCTATCAACTCTGAGTCTTCATCTTGCTGATATTTCGACTACAAAGACAAGAAGTTCACGTCATCGTACAAAATCAATACAGTATAATAGTTATGGTATGCCAACTCGTCCCGCCAGCACATCGGCATTACCTCCGGCTTCTTCGTTAATCGTTACTTCATTATCTCATCATTCATTTTCTGATAGTTCATTAAATCGTAAGCCACGATTTCCATCAACAAAGAAAAGAGAAATAATAAAAGATTCATCTGAGGAATGGCCGAGATCGGAATATCCATCCACAGCTTTAGTTGAGAAAGAAACAATTTCTTGGCCTGATATGCCTAAATATTCTATTAAAAATGCTGTTTTTAACGGTAGAAAATATTCTGTTATTAATACATGTCCATTAGATTCAGGATTATTTGTTCTATATTATGCCTATATTTCGTACTCAGACGAATTTCGAGCCTTATTTGATCGTGAAACAAAACTTATCTACTCTAATTTACGTAAGACATTTCAGCTGGTGGGAAGTGATGGCTGGGATATAGCTCGTTTATATTGGCTTAATATTCATAAAAGATTAAATTCATCAGTAGTAAACAGCAATAATCAGTATAATTTGTTTGGTACTGTTGATGAGAATGTTTTTGGATATGTTCGCACAATGCAAGAGTATGAAAACTCAAGTAATTGTTTGTGTGAAGATTGTCCAAGACGGACAAGAACCTTAATTAGTACTGATATTGCTCTAAAGTAAGTATTTGAGAAGTCTAAGAACAGACTAAAGCCGTAGCTCACACACGGAGAACTCCATTTTGTCATACTTTATTAACTTCCCACAAACTCTGCTTAACAAGAATTTCTTAATTTTCTTTTATTACAGCAAAGAAAACAACGCATTCTCCAATACTTTGCCACATTTTGAAACTGCAGAAGCCATCTTGTGTGGTACTCCTATTAGTGAAGAAGAACCTATGAATTATAGTGGAGATTATATATTGGATGAAAAATTTCCGTTACATAACCCAGAAACAAATGTCGACGAAATTAGGTGAGAATCAAAACTCTTGACAGCTAAACAGAAAAAAACAGTTTAAACATTTTTTTTTAGGCCTTATTGGTGTTGTAACAGTTTAAGAGAACGATCCAAAAATACGTTCAGAGAAAGGCCACCCATTCTGATTATTAACATCGCAGTTGGTGGTACAAAAATGAAGGAGTTGCCTGTTATATTTAATGTTGGACTGGATACGTAAGTACAATACTTGTGTACGCCTCTTTTTCTTTTACCATCTATTTCCACTATCTTTTCAGCTATAAACTATTTGCTTGTATATGTGGCAGAGATGATCATTTCACTGCCACAATAAAAAAGGAACATCTTTATTACAAGTACGATGATTTACATTCAAAAGGAATATATATTTATGACGGTACTGATACTGTCGAAACAGCCGTATATTATTTATTAGTATGATATAGTCACATACATTTGCATTATTATTTAATTAAACTCAAAACAGTCTGTTGAACATGTCGCTAAAACGTTACTAAATGGAGTAACCGTCATTAGCGTTTTACGTGCGTCACATACAGTCCCGTCAAGCTACTCATTTTCTTTCAACAATAACTTTCTCAATTCAACGTCTAAGATCAGTGCACTAACATATTTAGTCTAATGAGGTAATGAAGTACAGAACTGCTATAAACATGATTAACTAATTCTGTACTTCATTACCTCATTATTTAAATCATTAACTGCTCTTTCTCCTAACTTTATATTTAGTCTAGTTCCGAGTTGATTGTACTAATAACCATTTGGCTAAATCATAGCTAACGTTTTTGTTCAACTTTAAAAATAAACACTTATTAACACCCAGTTAAAGTTAGACTGTCATCTACTAACACATACTGAAATAATTCAACATTTAGTTAGTTTATTAAAGAGCAATTAAGAAGTTTTGAAGAAATAAAAAATCCTTTTTAAGATTTATATATGTTGTAGCCAAAACTGGAATTCAGTCAAATCTTAGATTTGCCTAGCCAAAACTAAGATTCCACTTTTGGCTAGCCAAAACTGAGATTCTAGTTTTGGCTAACAATTCTTCAGCCAAAACTA